CGTGAAAGAAGCAGCAGTATTGGAAAAATCTAGTAGGTTCAATCAGCAAAATTAAACCCTGTGTGAGTTTCTCCAGGTTGAAGCGGGAATGTTTCTCTGATTTTTGAGACTGCACAAGATGGTATGACTACTCTGACCTTCTTGCCTAAATAGCCCCAACACCAACGTACAAACTGCCTGTAAGCTGTGTATCTATGTCGTCTGAAATTCAATAAATACATGTAAATATATCAAAATGAGATGCCATTTTGTATTAGTAATAATTTAACTAATTATGAATCTGAAAAGAAATGGGTAATAAAATTGACTTACTTTGTTGATTCTTCCAAGTTCCCTCCATATTGTTGTCGATATTGATAGTATGCAGTTCTCAGTACATGAATATCAAGACAAACTGTTCTAAACCCAGGATGATGTGTTATGCAATTAAGTGATGTGTCGGTTCTTGAAATCTCTTCCTTTACTTGTTGTATCTCTTGACAGCACCTGTTTTCGGTATTTGATGCCATGATTGTGCAGCATTGACATGAACACCTACTTGGGTATTAGAAAAGAAAAAAATTGTATAAAAAAAAATATTTGTTTGAAATTTTCTTTGTCAAAATATTTTTGACCTTAATGAAACAATTGCAACTTTGATATGTATAATTGAATTAAAAGAAAATTAAACTATTCTTCACCAGTCTGTGTTATGTGTTCTGTCTTCCTCATCAGCTTCTGAATTGTCGGATGCATCTTCATCAGAAGTTGCATAAGGCTCATATTGGTATGGGAGAATACCAAAGCCAGCATTTTCTGTCCCAATAGTATCAGAATCTGTCTCTTCATGGTCAGAAGAATCTTCACTAAGATCTTCTTTATTGTCTAATTCCTCCTCAACATCCAAATCAAACCAAATGTCATTTTCTTTTTTTTCAATTTCATCTGTTTGTGAATATTGATATCCATGATGCTAATTGTAAAGTAAAAGGCTCTCGCGGTCAGATATTGAATTGTTTTATTTGCAATTCCACAGCTGATAAGAGAACTTTTGCAGCTTTATTCGTGTGTTTCCGTGAGCAGGCAGAAAATGTCAAATTTTAATTGTTTTATCGGCTAAACCGCTGCAGATAAAGAGGTGCAGATTTTTCATGTGTCCATAGATAAATTACTTTTAATGATTAGTAAAAAGAAAATATTTGACTAAAGGTGCCCTTTAATATACAAGACTATGGAACAGGATATACATGTATGCATACTCAGTCCAGATATTAATTATTTTTTAAAGGGTATGGTATATTTCTATTCATTTTCAAGCTTACATTGATTTCATTGTCAGTCATTGTGCAATTTGAATCTTCTTCTGATTTTCTAGCTTCAGCTTCTTGCATAGATTTATTCTGAACTTCTGTTTTCTCTGTAATGATCTACAATAAGATACATGTATCATCTTCAAATATTTTGTTATGAATTACCAGTATAAAAATATTTACTAATAACATCTTTGTTTAAGGTGTAAAATGTAAAATCTACTTACTCTAAAATTTTCTCGTTTTACAAATGCCCCTCTTATCCGTTTCCTTTCTTTTTTCTCTCTCTCATTGGATTTCTCCTCACCCTCCTCAATAGAGCTCAAATCACGTTTTCCTAAAACACTAGGGTGATGTTTTGTTGGTACTGACCCAGGATTTAGAACTTTGTTCTTCACTGGAATTCCTTGTGATTTTTTGAATCGATACTCAAATGGATAACAAGAGTCATCGAAATGTAATTCACAAAGGCTGGAATATTTAGTAGGGCCCTCAGGCCATTTTCTCTTAAGTCTAACAAAGGCAGTCCACTTTGGTACAAGATGTGGTTCCTTTTTAAATGGAAAATAGTGCAGGGACACTCCATCTAAATGTGTACTTGAACACCCACCCGCTACACATCTTCTACCCCTTTTTGTTTCACTGTGAGTATCACAGGACATGTTTATTTACATGCCATGTAGTGTAACAACATTGAAGCTGTCTCTGCATCTGTTCACATTCTTTTCGTCATGCAGCCGATAACAGCGGAAACTGCCGAGCTCAGATTACTTTCACCGAGCATTTGACATTTTAATTAATTTCAGCTAAACCACACATCTTACAAACGTGCTTTTTTCAGGACTGGATTTTAAATAACCGAATATATATTTTAATTGAACAATAATTTTTGACTAAAGGTGCCCTTTAAATATTCTTTAATTTTGTTCCAAGTTCATCCTTAGAGTACGACACATCTGTGGAGTTTTCAGTCACATTACGTTTCTCCAAGTCCTATCCTTGTACATATTTCAATCGAAAACAACGTAGGGTGATGTTAGAGATAAATTTTGATTTAAGTGCAGTTTTTTCCCACTAAACTGTGAATCTAAACTTTAAAGTTTACCTGTATTAATTTATTCTCGATTACGCGTCGGGGAGCCATTAAATGAATGACCTACGGCAGCAACTAAACACTGATAAAAAGAAAACGATTGAAGGGCAAATGTTTAATAGGTAATCAGAAACATGGATCAATTCGCCGAATCCTTCAGCGGGCGTTAAATAGTCGAGTGTGTTTACCGAATGTGTGTGTTTGCTATTGAATATGAAGGGGAAAAGTTTAAATTCCCTTTTTATTATCTCCCTCGCTAAAAGTTCACTTCTAGTCTGTGTGTAATCCTAGATAAATTCATCCTAACGAATCTCTGATTTATAATTTAATTTTTTTTATATAAATATTTTGTCGAAATTCAATTTATTCATATATATATATATTTAACAATTCATTATTGTAAAAGACATACATCTTATTTATAACACATTTTGTTAGAATCACTATTTGTTTATAGATAAGTAAAACTATAATATGATTATATTATATATTCGTGTAGAACTATAAAAGCACTTTATATAATATTGCACCGTATATAAACTATATACATGTAGAGTTATTGAAATTAAGCACAGTTTTCTTAATTAAAAGCCACAAAACAAACTTTCAAGAAATCTAGAAAATAACAGAAGTTTATTTTGTTCATGCACATTAATCATCTACATTGTTTTTCTGCAGCTGGATTTATGGAGCTCTTAACACACGAGCACTTACATACAAGTTCTAGTAGTATACATTTAGGGAGCTTTGATCTACTCAATAATACAAAAAATATAATAAATGGGAATTTTCACTTTATATGAAGAATAAAATAGAAGTATTCAAATGTATTTACTTTAAGGTATGTCACTCGTGAAATTTGTTAAATCAAGGATTTTTTGAGAAGTATTTTTGGATAAGTACTCATGTAGTATGACTCAAAATCGCAGAGAAAATAGGAGGTCAGGGTGCATCTTACTGATCTATGGTACAATTATGTTGACCTTTTTGCACTTAAATTTTAACTGTTTGGTTTATTACTTTATCTCTTATTATATTTTATCAGATGTTACCATGGCAATAAATATAATCTTATTTTACGTAAAATAGTTTGAATAATATTTCTCATTGAACAAATCTTTCAAATTAATGCGCGTTAATTATTGTGTGACCTTTTGGCACTAAAAAGTAACCTATTTGGGGTATTAAAAAACTAAATAGTCAATAAAATATTTTCTTATGACAAGCTTTTTACAACTAAGTGCTGATCAGTCACAAGTATCGAGGAGATTTAAATAGTGAAAGAAAAAGTTATGGTCAGTGATGTTAATTTTGAAATATTGGTCAAAATATGCGATTTTCATGCAAAACATGGAATAAATTTTATCTTGACTTCTTTAATATATCTTCATTTTTTGGGAAAGTTTGTTGAGGAAAGGTGTAAAACTTGTTCTAAAAATATAAATTAAAACCTGTATTAAACATTCCTATCAATATCATAACGGAAAATACTCTCCGAGTAAAAGTATGTGAGACTTAAGTTTCAACACATTGCATTTAATAAATGTGCAGATTTGCAGAAATTTCAGTTAAATATCCTTCCACCACAAGAAATAGTCCCTCATAAATCTTTCTTCTTTGTTGATTTTTGAGCAGTTTTTTATGAATGTTAAAAAATTTACATTGTTGAATTTAAATATTTTATAAAAAATTGAATTTTAATAAATATTTTGGAAGTAAGAGGTTCTGCGTGAACCTTTCTAAAAAGCTGACGAGTGACATACCTTAAATACTATTTTACAGTCAATTAAATGTCTGTTCAGACATTTGTTTGTTGTGGTGAGAACTGACTTCCTGGATCATCTCAGTCTAGAGTATGGACTTGTTTGTCTGAAAACTGACAAAGTCCGTCGAAATTCTCCATTAATGCAAAGTCAATATATCCATGGTTTAGAAAACTCTGTCTTTCAAATTACTGAATGCTCAAGAGCCTCGACGTAAGGGGTTACTCCTTACGTCGCGTGTTCGAATCCCACTGTGGAGACCGGTACTTCGGATGTGATTGTTTAAAGAGAGGTCCCGTGTTGCAGTAAGTGCTGGCACAAAACAGATCCCTCACTCCTCAATGGCCCCGAGTGCCGAGTATAGGACAAAATTTGCAGCTATCCACCGGCAAGAGATGACGTCTCCATATGAGTGAAAAATTCTCGAGAGGGACGTTAAACAACATACAATCAATCAACCAAATAATCAATCTAGTGAAAGATGACAAAATCTACTGAGAAGTGCTCTGTTTTCCAGGCCTTTCAGCGACCATTGATTTAGTATAGACTAAAGGGTGCAAGTTCATCCTGTGTTTGTAACGGAAGAGTTGCCTTGATCACGTTCACTTCATTATTTCTCTTAATATATCAGACTTATAAGATCTGATTATAATTCAGTAAAAGCTGTTCATTTTTTTTTTTTGGTCAACTTTCGACAATGTTGTATCTTTCGGAATAACAATAATAAAGTTTCTTAGTGAGAAATCAAGCTTGATGGGAAAAAAAGTAAAATTAAGTGATTCTTGAAACAAAATTAAAAATTCATTTAACACCTGTCCCTATAAGCTGCAAATTATACACATATATCAGGCGCAAGATTTCCATCCATACACCACGACTGGCCCCTTAAATGGGTTTTTTCATGTCTGCATTTAAGAAATGAATTTTATTTTTGAAGATTCATGAGGTTATGAACTACGACGCTTCTTGCCGGCATATTTCATGAAGCGCGTTCGCGCTTCATGTAATATATGCTGACGTTCAGCGTTGTAGTTCATATACCTCATGAATCTTCAAAAAATTAAATTCATTTCTTATATTTACATTATTTTTCTGATGACTTGCCATAAATTTATGCCGTTCAACTGTCATTTTTAAAACAAAACAGTGTGCACTATATTTTTTGACTTTTTGACGTCAAGAGCGGTATTATGACGTAACAATGGAGATATTCATACTTATTCGTGATACATACCTAATGTAGTTCATGAGAAAATATACTGCATATTATTTTGTAAAGAATCATAAGGGAAATTTATTGGAAATGTAAATATATATAAATGATTGGAGCATTTGAAGTTCAAAGATTAACATAAGTTTTATACTTGTTTGGATAGTACTGAACACGGAAATAAAAATATGCAATTCAGATAGATTTTCAGGAAGTCAAAAATATCAAACAGGTTTGTGATTTTATGATAAAAAAATTGCATAAAACTAGCCTACAATCTACTCATTTTTAACAAAATAAATATTAAACACAAATGTATTAGAGGGGGGAAAATCAAACTGCTATAATAGTTGCTCCATGCATGTCTTTTTTAACTATCAGTCCCGTAAGTTTTGGTTATATCTGTCAATGCCCTTTTCCGCGTGAGTAGTAATCGCATTTTACGAACTGAACACGACTCTGGCCCTGAAGGTAACATATAGTGTTTAAAGTTTTAAAATAGATTTAATACGTAGACAAACCAGAAATCCTTTTGGAATCAGGAATATCAGGGAAGATAAAAAAAAAAAACGTACTGAACTACACCTTCTATCAAATTCTTCAAATTCAGAAGCGTGCAATTAAATGATCTTTATTTGATCCTGGGGTTATTTTTCCCGGCATGTTGTGCGCTAGGGTGGGTATAGCCAATGTGACTGATAAAACAAACCTGTTCGTATCGAATTAGACTAACAATTCTCTTCTTTCTTCCTAGCTTGTAGAAACGTGATGAAACAGAATATGGAGAATCTGATTTGATTTAAAGTCTGTAGCACAATATTCCTCATCTGATTTCTCAATATTTTTTACAAATTGATTCATGATAATTGTACTTATAGCTCCCTTGTTTGAAATATTCACAAAAATAAAATATCAGGAATCAAGATTTATTTCGAATATTTCCATTATCAGAACTTTACAATTTTGTTCAGTAAAATACTATAACATATCTGACTGATTTTTTTTCTTTGCTGAGAATGCAGACGGATGCACAAAGTACAAAATTAAACAAACAAAAATCGAATTTTCTTTCATAATTTTTTTAATATTTAAAGTACATTTCATGTAAAATCTCTACAATGTATAAAAATAAATCTCACAAAGACTAAAATTATATGCCTATGAAATACACTAAAGAGGACAAAAAATATCATTTTGTAACACTTTAACAAAACTTTTTCGATAAGAGTGGATCTTTTTCATGAAAGGTTAACCTAAAAGTTTGCAATAAAATATTCATACAATTTTTTGATTTAACGATCGAAAAGTACAATTTTATGACAAAACATTCGCATCTTTCGGAGAAAACTTGTCCATTAGGTCAAGTCCTATCATAAACATAATTTAAATGCCCCAACTTATCATAAGCCGTGTAGCAATATGATTTTCTCAGGATTTTTATCTATGGTGAGTTCGAATCCTACGAGTACCAGCATATATTTCAATAAATGAATAATTTTTTTTCCGAGTTTTTTTTTTCTCAAAAAATTTTTGTACTCATAATTTCTTAATTGTCTATAATGAAAACTTAATTTAAATGTGTACTTAAATCACAAATTGAACTGAATTTCTTACATCTGAATATATATTTAAAATTGAATATGTTTTTAATATCTAAAGCTATATAGCTATAGGTATTTTGCATGCCTTTTTCTTCATCTTCTTTGATAAATTAGTAAATTAGTAAGCTAATTTTTTTTTGTCAGAGACAACAATGATTACTTTATAAAAATAAAATTTATTTATCAAAAATAAATATTAAAAATTTGCTCATTTTTAAAAAGTTTAAAAATATCACAGAAATATATCTAAAAGGTGTCTTCACATCGACATTTTGATTGTGAGAATAATACAACAAAGAAGGTACTTAGGAAACTATTTTACAGGGGGGAAAAATCAGTCGTCTTCGAACTGCGTCACCATAGACATGACTGGGATGAAGCTCCCCAGCTAGGGATTTTTTTCTTCCATAACACTGTGACTATCGGAGCACTTTACGTAAATTCCACGTGTATAAACAAGACGGAATTTGCTGCATTGAATCATAAGCTTTCATTATTTGTCAATCTTCATTTTGGGCGACAGGGGTGGCCTCCTAGTTTGGTTTTTATCGCTCCTAATTCCCTCGCACACCACAAGTCAGACGGGTTCGCCATTGTTACATCTACATGTAAAGGACCTGAAGTCATTGTCCGTAGAATAGGGTAAATTTATTCTCACTTTATCCACAAATTATCTGGAATGCAATTCTGTTGCGATAAATGTCTTATTCAATTAACAGGACCCGGCAGCGTTGTGTGTTATCACAGGCATAACAAAACATCGCTAGAGATGTTATCATCAGGTCAAAAGCTAACAATTCTTAATTCCTTTTAGTAAATCTGTCAAAAGTCATGTCCTACGAAGATATGTAGTTTCATTCAACCTTACAAACGTAGCCCAATGAGTTTCACATCGTATAGTCACACAATTTGCAGTCGTAGGAAAGTGCACGTGGGATTTGGGGAGGGATTCTTTGTGTCCTCGTTATCTCTCACTCTCCGTTATCTGGTGTCTTTGTGACGTCATAAGATGTGTCAAATAGACAGACAGCGGGCATAGTAGCTTTGTGGGGAATGTCGGTGAAGTCGTTAGGTAGGTAGTCCTTCTGTCTGTAAGTTTCTCGGGGCTTTAGATGGACAGTCTTGTACTTCTACGTTCGTTTCATTTCCCCTGGATTGGAGAGGTGAGTGAGTTATTGCTGTGTCGGACAAGTCTTATTAAATTTTACTATTAAATACCGTGCAGTTCGATAAATCCGGTTTATCTTGATAAGTAGTGTAAGGGCACTGGGTACCTGGAAGTTTACATTTAAGTTAGGATGTTGACAGTAGTCTCCTGACCCCTGATAGTTTAATGTTAATCTGTTGTTTACTGCAGGAGAGCTGTGCCAGAAAACCGAAAAATCTGAAAATATATATTAAATCTCTGAAAATATATATTAAATCTCTGAGGAAATTAAGACTAATTCTAGGCTTATTGTGTTTTTTTTTTAATAAAATAAATATTGTTTCAAAATAAATATTTTTTTTTATAAAATAAATAAAGAAAGAATTGTTACAAAGTACCATAAATGGATGTAGTAAAAATATTTTTCAAATGCCATCTTACTCCATTATAGTTTTGGTATTCAGCGATGTATGCATGTCTAACTTTTGGACATTTAAAATTAGAGTGAAATTAGCTTTTTTTGGAGAAGATAGTCAGAGCCTATTAATGTTAATTTTTCACAGAAGATTACCGGAGCATACTTTTGGTGATTTTTCACAGTAGGTGGTCCCAGCTTTTAGTGCTAATTTTTTCTTTGAAAAGAGAAGACCTTAACCGTATACATTTTACAGAAGTTCTAGCTATTGTTGAATATTACAGATGATAGTCCAAGTCGTTAACTTTAAATGCTAGTGTGTTATAATTTGGTGATTCAGAGCTAACGAACATCACTCACGATAAAGAACAAAATGATAAAGTCGTGAGATAGATATAAGTATACAAATGTACTACAACTTAATAAGTTGTGAGAGAGATATACCTTTTGTAAGTATGCAAATGTAATAAAGATCTGCAGTAAGTGGTGATGGAAACATTTGTAGATAACGCACGACTCCCTATTTTTCTCTCCACAGCAGCACTAACTGTCCATGTATTTATTTTACATACACCTACTCAGGGATTTTGTTTCATGAACAAATTATCGCTCATAATTTGATTAGCTTGATTCGTTTCTTAATTCTGAACGATGAACTGACTATACCCAGACTTGCCGTCAGTTGGGTAATTTAACCGTGAAATATGATTAAAAACAAAATACGCCGATATTTGGTTCACTGAACCCCAGTTAACTGGCCGCGATCTCGTATTGGTCAATGACGCCAACAGGTTACCTTTTGATGGAGTTTCTTATCATTATTATTTTTTATGCTTTATTTTTTTGAAAATTAATATTCTTCTGTAATACTAATATGAAGTTGTTGTGAATGGCGTTCTATTTGACGTCATCAGCAGGCGACAACGTGTCTTATAAATGAAAAACTAATTTGAGATCGATATTTGTCTGGTTTCCATGACAACCGATCATTGAATAATATAAACTATTGTCATCTATAGGTATTGCTCATAGTTCCATTTGGATCCAAAAGAAGCCGACACTGAATAATTTCTGATTAACAATGTACGCACTACGCACGAAGGGGAAGTACTTCTTTTCGCCGGAAGTTCATTATTTTTTGCCAAATTTAAAAACACGGACGCTGTACCGTTCATTTCCGCTGAAAAAAAGAAATTCTTCCGCAATCAATGAAGTTGTTAAAATAGAAGACAGAGTTTTATAAATTGTTTAGGCTTTTTATTTTTATGGATTAACTTTTTAAAAAAAAAATTATTTTCTTCTTTTTTGTTATCTTATTTGTTTACAAATAAAAATTAATAAGGAAACTAAACATAGTTTTTGTCTTCTTATCGTTTTCGGAACAAAAACTGAAATCAGCAATAAGCACCGAACATTTTTCATTTTAGGAGTAACATGTAGCCCAGGTCTGATTTCCCATCATTCCAGTCGGAGTACCCATAGTTCCTCAACGATGTACCCACGGACTCCAGGTAAAGTACGCATGCGTAGAATTGTAAAAGCAGCGGAAATCATAGTTTGATAGTTGTTTAAAAGTTGAATTTGTTATCTAACTTTTCTGTCAAATTATCCTCCCAAAACAGGAAAAAAAATTTCCAAGTTTAACATAGTAACATTTACCAGGAACACTATAATAGAGACCATAGTGTATTGAATGTATTGTAGTCGAGTGAGAAGCATAAACTTTATGTACAATAAACACAGGTCACCTAGATATATTGGGGTTCCATTACTATTGCTTATATTAATTTAAAGTACACTTCATTACTGTACAATTTTTGTTCGGGAGAACTTTATTTTCGCTGAATTACGCGAGAGAGTGTACTCGCAAAAATTTCATTCACGCGTATATTACTATTACTTTACATTAGTGGGGTATATAATGCAATTTCCACGATTTGTGAAAATTTTGTCCTCCAAATAAAGAGACTAAAGAGTTAAAGAGTTGTGTCTATGTGTACTCTTTTGTACACCTTTAAGTCTTCGCTGTCTTTGTTGTATCTGTATATCATGTCTCTAGTGTCTATGTGTACTCTTATGTACACCTTTAAGTCTTCGCTGTCTTTGGTGTTATTTCAATTTACAATCAAGTTCTGGTTGTCTTTGTTTTACTAAATATTACGTGTTTAGTAGAATTTCTGTTTATCTAGTGCACACTTTAAGCTATATGGTGCATTCATGAACAATATATTTATTGTTCGTTTTAACGTGCCTAAGAACAATGTCAATGTTACTAAATTGTGTATTCTTTCAAGTACTTCCTAATGTACAATGTATCTATGATTAATTTTAACGGAAATTTTCCAGCATTGTAACTGGAGTTAGGTCCTTCCGAGTCTCGTATAACATACAGTGTACAGTTGTAGTCTGTCAGTAATATTCCCTGCCTCTGCTCCCTGTTATCCATCGGTGACATTGAGACATCAAACGTTACATATAGGTAGAATCGGTGTACTTACGCCGTGCACGGGGTGTGCTTGCTTGCCAGACGAGTTGGCTATTCATTGCTTACAAAATGCTGAGCAGGAACTGTATATAAGAAGTTAAAATATAGAGTTCTGATGATCATAACTACTATTAAAATGAATAATTAAGTTCCAAAACTATTGAGTGGAAGTACAATTGGAATTGAAATGACTAGTAACTTGTACCTCGTTCAAATAGAAAGATAGCGCTTTGTTGTCCATTTTTCGAATGAAATATTGAATTAATTACTTAAAAATATTAGCCACTTATGTACGCCTTTGTCTGCGGACGCCCGTATACGCTGTGACGATTTCGTCGTCAAGTCTCATTTGCTCGTGTTAAATCCCAAATGAATATTTTTGCTCAGTTTTTTAAATATTTATTTTTGTTGGTGAACGACCAAATTTGTAGAAAGTGTTTACCTCCATTTACAGGCTCATTACGTCTGCGGCTTAACACGGCAGTAAGAGTAAACATAGGTATAGATTGAATTACGCGCTACGATCACAAGGACGAGAATTTAAATGCTTAAAACTTCCAAGACGAGAACGCCATAATCCCCCGAGTTCGAAAATACCGAGGTCAGTGGGCAACATATTCAGAAGTTCTGTGATCGATTGGAAATGTAAGACGGGGGACCGAACAGGACGGGAAATGTTACCCTCCCCACTATGGCAGGTAAGTGGTGTCCAGCAGACCCCAGGGCAACCTATAAGTGTCCCGAAATTCGTCTAAATTTTCGAAGGAAGATTTCAATAGTTTTGACCTTTGGATTTAATGCCAGTAAAAGGACTTGGTTAACTATAGCAGTCAGCGGACAAATGAAAAAACGAAGAGGGATTTTCAGGACTCGGAGAAGGGGATAACGATTAACAATCTATATTTCTGTTTAGTACTACTGAACGTCAATATCGATAACAAAAGGCGAACTACCTTACAAATGTACAAATGATTAAATGCTACATTAGAATGATTGCTGAAGGCTTATGAACGACGAAATTAAAATCGTTATGTCGTTGTGATTGAATGGCGACGGTAGCTGCACTGAGGTTGATGTGTGTGTTATACCAAACATGTACACCTATTGTCACTGGCATGTCTTAAAACTCAAAGGAGAGCTTTGCCGATTTCCGTTGGCGGTTTTAATTCCAGCCATTGAAGCGAAAACAAACATTGATCTTGTAATTCATATCTCTAAAAGTTTGTTAACAGCACATACCCTGCGTGTAGGGAATTATCAGGTATTTAAAACATAGCTATGAGCCGTTCATATCACACGGGTTACGTGTTGACGTGTGATTTAGTTCATCACTTATAAGCTTTATTGCCTTCTGTCCGCCTCTGGAGGTCCTACTACCTACTGGTAAAACTTGCCTAAGAACCTATAACTGCTAAATCTTACAGACCTTCTCAAAGGTGTCCTTTCACAACTCACAGAGAAGTAAATAAAACATATGTAGCTTCTGATGTATACCCTTATACTCCGATATATTTCGGTGGTATGGTATCCCCCAGCTATCTAAAGGAATGTGATGGAGGTGCTCTTCCTATGGATGGGTTACTCGTAAGAAGTGGTGGTTAAGGCTTCCATGCAGGTCTTCTTAATGTCCCTTGTTCTACCTCGTCAGCTTATATTTTTATGGCTATAGATATCTTTTGTTAGCCTTTTACTGAGAAGATATTCTAATGGCTGGGCATCTTTAGTGGATTCCTTCATTGTTGAACCATCCGAAATGGCTATTTGGCCCTCTTGAGTGTTGCACTTGTAGAATATGGTATATTCTATTGAGCTCTCATTGAGTGTTGTACTTGCAAAATAGTGTATATTCTATATATTGGGCCCTACTTAAAGTGTTGTCCCTGCAGAATAGGGCATATTCTATTGGGTCCTCTTTAAGTGTTGACCCTGCAGAATAGGATATAATTTCATTGGCCCGGCCCTCATAGAGGATATTTTTTGACCTTATTGAGGCGCTGTCCTCTCAGTCTAGGATATAATTTCATTGGGCCCTCATTGAATTCTTTTGTCATAGCATGTTGTCTTTATTCTGCAATCTTTTTGAGATGTACTCTAGGCTGCCAGGGTAGAACCTCACTAAAGTCAAGCTGTAGCATGTTCATTTTTTTTTCGTTGATGCAAATCTCATGTTGTCTTTTGTATTTTCCTTAGGTACATGTATGTTCACTGTTTTTCTTGTTAAGAGCTCAGGGTATCTGTCGTAGAAGCTTGACTTCTTCAGAAGCTTATTGAACTTTGGCTTCCATGTCTTAGAAAAGCTTAAGTGAGATTGTAGTAATTCGTTTCTAGTAGACTTCCAGTAATGGTGGCTAAATAATATTCTTGTAGCTGTTCTTGTATCTGCATGACTTTTGTTTTATGACAAAATTTTCTTGTACATGTTGCCTTCTATTCAATCTGTATGTCTTATGGTGTGTTGACTAAAAGGTATTCCTGTACATGTAGCCTGTTATTCAATCTGTATGTCTTACAGTGTGGTGACGATGTGGAATTCTTGTTTGCCGTTAATGTATCAGCATGCTTCTTACTGACGTCCGTAATTTCTCAGTTAACTGGTGGTCTCTTGTGTTACATATATTGTACTTCTATATTTTCATTTTTTCATGCATGTGTTTTTAATTTGAATTCGTGATATTGTCAAAAAAAAGTAATGAATCTTGAATCTGTTTTATGCCAAACAGTCTTATTTCGTTCTATGATAAAGCATAGCCCCAAAATAAGGATCAAGAGTTCTCCGCAGTGCCGAGTTTGTCCAATGAACTGTTTGCACCTTCCTGGCTCTATATATACATTTGAGATTTCGTACTTGTGTGTTTATGGTTTGGGTCCTGCTTTGTTATACAGCTAGGTCATTTAATTTACAAACAAAAGGATATTCCTGGAGTAATTGTCAATAAGTGGTATCGTCCCAGCACACGACAGGTCTCTATGAAGAGACTTATTGTTCTATAGGTACAACTCTACTTCCTCCCCCTGCTTCTTCATTCTATCGGTTTACTGGATTTTGTTTTTTTTAAAAATCCTCAGTTATTTCGTGTATATTCTATGGACTATCAGACGCGCCCATTTCATTTGGATTTCACTTTAATTTTACTTCCTTTTTGCTACTGGCCCACATTAAAAAAACACCTCAATTGAGGGATCTTATGGCTAATTTATTATCTTATGGCTCTTACAAAATAGATTAGGTCTGCATTATCTACATGTACTAGAAAATAAAAATAAACAGCAACTTTTATTTATCTGATTATTTTATTCAAGCAAATTCATTTACAAGATTTCTGATACTAGTAGTTAAAAATATAACAAAATATAATTTTAGGGCCGCACGTACTTATTGAAGAAATGTTTTGATATTTTGCACTTTCAAAACACTTTTGCACTCCTAAAACAATTGTTTCATACCAATTATCTGGGATCTATATACATACAGGTCTTGATATTTCTAAGTATTAAGCCTTTGTTTTCATACTTGTCTGTTCTGGGCTCTAAATTAGAAATAAATGTTCTGCTCTGTTCATACCACAGAGCTTTAACTACGTAATGTCCTGTCTACCCAATACATTTCTCACTGTGGGCGTGACTGACCAAGAGGGGATGCTTACTTATTAAAGGCACCTGATCCCATCATGGAATTTCCCCGAATCCGCATTTGTGCCATATTGTTGAATGTTCCAGTTTTATTTTAATTCTAGATTGATGACTGTTCCCTATCTTCACCTAATTTTTTTTTTATTCTTAACCTGCAGATCTTCAGACCGAGACGGTGACCCAGTTTTTGTTTGACAATCCGGATTTCCTCGATTCCTTTGTGATACAGCACGTCCATGAAGACAGAGTTCGACAGTGGTCACAACGGAAACATAAAGGTCAAGGTCACCATGCCTTGACCCTCACAAATGGTAGGCTGTTGCTGACTTTTTAAGATTGTAGATGTTAAAAAACTGTGGCATATGCATTAAGCAGTAAAATGCCTTTTGCTGTAGCATGTTTTATTTCGGATAGAGATTTAAACATGCCGTCACCGTACATATATTTAAAAAAAAGACTATAATGCATTTAAGTAGCAACAACAAAAAAAAGAAACAAACAAATATTAGCGTGACAGACTGTGCATATTACACATTCACATTAGATTATGTTTGCATGCTATTTAGCACAACAGAGAATACTTCAAAACCTTCCGAGCTTCTTTCAAAGAGGAAACCCCTCACAGTATAGCTTGATTAATCTCTGCACTGTGATACAAAATGCCATATTCAGGGCTCTAAAGGCCTCAAAAAAAGATTTTATCAATGGCATTTAATAGTCTCGATAAAGTGTTATTTTCAGAAAGTAAAGGCTGTCGATTCTTTTCATACAGGATTTGTTTAAACATACATGTAATGGTATTAATGGACCTACGGTAATTAGTCTGACCCTGTTAAGACGGACGGATCGCTGTCATTACGAGTGACTGTTGGACTCAGGTGCACGTGCATCCCTGACTACTTTATTACCATGGCAACTAAAATTTATAAAAATTGACTTACAGACCCATGAATTATTTTTTCTCTCCTGAAAATCAATAACTGAACGAAGGGGGTATTATAAAAAATCTTTTCAATGGTTTATTGGAGTTTTAAATTATCAGATATGTGGTGCATATTGTACCGGGTGTATTGACATTTTTGACTTTAATAAAAGTGTAAACAGGGGTCCGTACCTGACATATTGTGAATTATAAATGAATTTAAATCAGTTTTATTTATATACACCTTACGTTCTTATGACTGCATTATCTGTACTGAAGAATTTTGATACTCCGAGACAGAAAATATCGCTAATGGAAAAAAAATTACTTAAAGAAGATTTGTGGATTTCATATCAAAAATCTTTTTGTTTTGTTCGCTTTTAAATATCACTTTCTTATTTTTTTTAAATCAATTTCTTTGTTTTCTTTTATTCAAAGGTGATTTATTTAAAGACCACAGGAGCAATTGGAAGGTAAGCGTGCGTTAGAGGATTGAATGATGACGTCATTATCCGGGTCATTGACACTCTGTACTTTGTACTAGATACGAAGGGAAAATTAAATGCATATCACATATGGAGTAATATTCTAGGGTGCAAATAGGAGAAATTCTGGTCGTTTTATTAAAGCTTAACATCCAAATGAGCCAATAAAACAGGTTAAAAAACATTCATAACATGCTTCATACAAAACACTACTATAGCGTCTTACGTCATAGCACTTTGTTTAGAAAAAATATGATTATTATTTTCTGGATTGCAATATATGCATGCAGATAAACGGTACTCAATGTTTTGAAATTTAATAAGGAATTTATTTGAAGAATAAGTGTGAGGATTTTTATAACCCCACCCCACCCCCTCCCCCTGCTCGTAGATATGAAAATATTTTAAAAATCAAAAGATGCATGAAAGCTCAAATTCCACTATAAAAAGTCCATACACAACTACAAAACATAGATATTTATTTCAATTTTCTTTCACTTTGTCAGTTGGGAAAATATTCATGTATAAGCTAAGTGTTATATACCCAGATAAAACATTTACAAGTTATTTTCACATTTAAAGTGTTATATTTACAACTTCTTTTCACACCGGGAAAAACGACAGGTCTTGATATCCGGGTGATTTTTTTTCATGAATAACTTAAGCCTAAAGTTTACATCTTGAAAGTAAATTTAATTTTATCTTTTGATTTTAAGAACTGTGTTCAGTCCAAAAAATGGCGGGTTCTTCAGGAATTAACGAAAGACAACACAACAAATAAAGCCCGAGTGTTCACGGAACTCGCTGCGTGCGCAGCTGAATGTAAGTATACCACGTGACACAACCCAGAATGCCCTAATCTTGCAACTCTGCTTGTATATAATATTCTTTGCTATTGCCTTTTCTTTTCTTAATTGAAGACGTCTACAATGGGTACTCTAACATTGCTATTTATGAAACCATAAAATTATACTTCTCGGCATTTATTAAAGAATAAATCAAAACAAACAGTGCAAAATTATCAAAACATTCTCTTTTTTTTTATATCTAATTCACAGCCGTAAACGCAGACGGACACAACTTATACTTAGTCGATGATCAAAACCAGGTAATCAACATAAAATTGTCACGTGATTTGATAATAATTTATTTGGTTATTTTAAAATCAGTTTTAACAGTGAAAAAAAAGAAGAAAACTCTTGTAAAAAATTAAATTGGAAGTATTTATAGAGTTAATTTGGGTTCTTAGACTATCTTAATTTAACCTAAGAATTTTAAACTGAAACATAAAAAACGTATATATTTTTTACTTCTAGTTATTCTTGGCCAGTAAAAGTAGCAAGTGAGTACAATTTACAACATTCCTCATTATTATATATAAGTATCACATTTGATTGGAATTGTTATTCACTTTTCTTTGATAGAGGTAGAAAATTATGAAATATGCTTCTGAGAAACAAATATTGAAAAGCTGAATTGATACCCTTTTCATTATAAACATTTTGTCATGAAATGTAAGATTTTGTTTTTCTTTAGAAACCAACGCGCCCCGACAACATGTGTTGGGAGAATCGAACCTCGCACCACCCTCCCCGCCTATGTGGCGTACACCAAGGAGTCGGTGGTCTCCCAAAACCTCGTGGGGGTAAGGAACGCGGACTTATTCTTGTCAGGTTTGGGAGTCAAATGTATCAAGTTATCAATCATTTGCCTTGTTTTGTGGAAACATAGACCTAAAGAAGGGGTTAACTTTAGATCTAGGATGGAAATGATAAATGTTAAATACATTTGACACGTTTTCAATTTCATAATTTGATATCATTTCCTTGTTTGGTTGAAACATAGACCTGTAAGCAAGGAGTTTGCTTTAGGTCTAGGGTTGAAATGATAAATATTTTTTACATTTTATTAATTAAAACATAATAATACACTTACTAATCATAGAAAGAAATGCTTATATCAGAGGAATTTTTACCCTTTCAAAAGTAAAATGGAAATACCTTAAATAATCATCTTTAAAAAATAGAACCTTAATTTAGATGTAGTTTTGAAACATCTAGGTTTCATTGAGGGAACAAATCAATTGTTTAGGTCCGTATGTTTTTTTTTTTAAATAAAATTAAATTAAAAGTTACAATAAAAGTGTATCCATCATATTATGGACATGAATTGAATGACTTAAATCACCCGTTTTAATGGCAATTTTAACATTGTATTAGCAGACTGTTCCCCTGTTTGAGTACCAGTAAATGAAATCTGGTGTTGTTATGTTGTACAACTAACCTATGAATTCTCGGAATGTTTATTTTCCTGGTCTATTTAGTAAGAGTTCACACGACCCAGTGTTTACACTTCTTTATATACAACTTATCTGAAGAAATCAAGTACAGATAGATTATCTTTGTGGCCATCGAAATCTGTTGTCTGACGTCACCCATTGTTCTGATGGCGGCCGACACATTTGGCTACCTATAAATACATGTACACATTATACAGCTATTGTGCGCCACGCAGAACTAAAAGTGGCTACGACATAGATTGTGTTTGAAAGGGGTATATCATTTCTTTTACAAAAATCCTCAAAAAATTAAAACGTAAATAAATATAAACTAAATATTTTATTAAAATAATTGTTACTAATGTAGTGTAGGACTCTCAAAAAATTATTTTAAACGGTTTTAATAAATATAAACTAAATATTTTATTAAAATAATTGTTACTTAATTTTTTCTGTAGTGTAGGACATTTTATTGTTTATATTTATATCTGTTTAAATTATCATTTTAAGATTAAAAATATTAATTATTGTGTTATGTATTTTGTACGTTTCATTGATGGAACGGCCACTGATCAAGAAATGGTGATATGCCTAATGTAGTTTATGCAGGGATGCATTTTTCTGAAATAAAGTATTATATAATAGTAATGCAATGCTTTATTTTTATGCCCCGTAATAGAAGAGTCGTGGGTAAATATTTTTTGCCTAGTACATCCAGTCTGCAAAAACTTTAACATTGTATTTGAATGGTTGAATCTATGGCTTTTATACATTTCACATGTGTCTTCCTTGCCACAAGACCTTTCTTTAGTCACCAACGAATTTGACCTATTGACCTTGGAGTTTGATCTAATTTTGCAAGAATTTACCCAGCTTTTACCTTGTTGGTACAAGTTGGTGCAAGGGCATTCATACAGAGCAACTTGTCTAATGCGGTTGTTGTGTATTCCGAAATCTTGCCAAAGCTGATGTCAGTTATATGCCCCCGTCCGTATCTTTTACGAGATCCAGTTGTTTGAAATGTTTTCTAAGCTGGGGTGCAATCTGATCGGAACAGTTTGACCGGATTAGACTAGTTTAACTGTACTTCATTTGTGCATTTATTGTGACGTTTCCATTGATGTAAATACTTTTAAACTTTTCACATTTACCTTTGAGTTTGACCAACTTTTAAAAATCTTTAAATTGTATGTAACTTTTGAACAATTAGTATTAGGACTTCATATTTCACAGGCTTATTCCACGTGACAAGAACTTCATTTGGTTACCAACAATTTTTACCGTTTGACCTTGACCTTGGCATTTGTCATTCTTTTGAGGAAGAATTTTAAAAAAGCCATAATTTCTGAGAAGTTGTTGCTAGGGCCTTAATTTTAAGCATGAATGTTTAATTAAAAAAATCCTTCCCCTTGGTTTCTTTAATTTGACCCTTTGACCTTGATTTTTGAATTTTGCCCACATTTTAAACAATCTTAAATCTTGGCCATATATTTTTAAATGGTTAGTGCTTGTACTTTCATATTTCACATGTATATATCAAAAGAGACTTTATTTGAGTAATAACATTTTTCTTCCTCGACATTAGGGTTTGGCTTGCATTTGAGAAACTACAATCTTTGTAAAAAGCTGTAATACGGGTAGCTGCAGATCTGTAGCTCTCCGAAAAAATATATATTGATAGACCGGTCTATCAATATATATTTTTTCGGAGAGCTACAGATCTGCACTATAATACGGGGGCATCAGTATTTCACAAACACATGGTTTTTAAATTGGAAATTCCAACTTTAAAGGTGGCCTTATGTAATTTTATTCTTGGCTTTTCCCTTTTTAAATTAGCTGTTTCAACAAAATAATATACCTGTGAAATATGAAAGCCAAATTGACAATCATTCATTTTTTTAAAAGAAGTAAATCAAAATTCAGTGTTAAGGCCAAAGGGTTAAAACTATTGGTATTCAGTATAAGGCCTTCACAAGAGTGATACCCTTTTTAAATATGAAGGCCCAAGCAACTGTTCTCAATGTTAAGGCTAATGTTTTTCAAGAGAATGTCAAACTCCAAGGACAGAGAAAAAGGATCAAGAACGTTGGTATCCAAAGGAAATGTCTTGTTAAAAAAAACACATGTGAAATATAAGAGTCCTAGTACTAGCCTAGATTGTCAAAAGTTATGGCTAAGGTAATTTTTTCATAGAGAGGGCAAAACTAATGTAAATTACATAAAATATTTATACTCAAGAAAAAAGAACTTGTCAAAATAGACCTAAATATTCACAAGTGAGTTGTAGAAGCACTAACATGAACTGTTCAAAGGGTATGAGTAAGTTTAAAGTTAAGTGATTTTTGTAAAAAAGAAAAAAAAACAAGATGTGTTTGTGAAACACTATGCGCCCGGCGGCACCAAAGTCCAATAAACTATTTTTAGCAAATAAGTCACAGTCAAGGTAACAAGGTCATTAATTAGTGAAGTAAGCATACCAACTATGAAATCTCTATCTCTCATGGTTCAAAAGTTATGGTGAAAGTTCTAAAAAGGTATTTTTAGCATATAGGTCACAGTCAAGATCGCAAGGTCATACACCTTGATGTCACTTGTAAGAGCTTTATTAGTTGAGTATGCATACCAAATATAAAGTCTTTACCTCTCATGGTTCAAAAGTTATGGCGAAAGTTCGAAAAAGCTATTTTTAGCATATAGGTCACAGTCAAGGTCACAAGGTCATTGACCTTGATGTCATTTGAAAGAACTTTATTGGTGGAGTATGCATACCAAATATGAAATCTCTATCTTTCATGGTTCAAAAGTTATGGCGAAGGTTAAAGTTGACAACAGGCAGACAGACAAACAGATAAACAGACAAACAGACAGGACAAAAACAATATTCGCCTCGGATCTATCGATCCGGGCGCATAAAAATTCACACTCAGTCAATGTCAAAGGCTAAAATATGATGGTAGCCCTGGTTCCCATAGAAAAATCTTGTCACAAGGGATAAATATTTGAAATATAACCAACCAGTCAAAAGTTGTGGGCAAAGTTTCTGCAGGCAAATAGACCGACGAACAGGGCAAACACTGAAAACCCCTCCCCCGAATCTTCGACTACCGGGCATAAGAAGAATTACTTATATCCTTGACTCTAGTGCCCATCAATGGTGTGAAGCAAAAATACCATTTTTGTTTATTTTCTCTTAATTCAGGATCCTCGATTTCCTCTGGGGTTCGGCGTGGAAACAGAAAAAGGAGTGTCTGCTATAGCAGTCCCACTCCTTCACGGCAACAACACCGTTCTAGGTACGGGAATATAATTATCTTCACAATCACACGTCAACAAACTGTTTTATAAACTATGATCATTTATTTACTAGATCTTGAATTTATCTTTTAGAAATCTTAGTTATTACACTAAAAAGTACTAGGAATTGAAAAAGCACTATAAAACCTAAACTTTCCAAATTCGAAATTAAAAAAAAAACTTTTTGGCAGATGTTTTGATGCAAAAACTTTGGTGAGTTTGACCCTACTACAGCAAAAAAGTGTAGATTTGTGTGAGGATATGATGTCTGAATAACAATTTCAAGCTTGATTTATAGTTAAACCAGAGACATAAACTCTCATTGTAACAAGAATAGATATGGGTTACCCCATATCCAAAGATATTCGACTGTTAGATTTAATATGTTTAACAGTGTTTATAATGACGTAAAAAAAAAAAAATGCACTTCTAATTATGGAACTGTGAAAAAGCATTACTATAAAAACAGTACACATAGGCCTACATGTACCTTAGCCTTGGTCTACACACGTGCAAATTCGTTTTGCCGAAATTAAACAAAACTTTTCTTTTCTTAATTAGATCATATAAATACGAATTCTGATTAATAAAAATTATACAATCCCTGTTGAACTTTATATAGTTTGTTCTAACATTTGCATCTGCAACAACTTGTGTTTAAAATGGCCGGGTTGGGAAAATCAGGACCGGGTCGGAAAATTCTAAACTGAAAACATGGAAAACCTTTTTTGTTTTGAAAATAACTTAAATATACTAATATATTTGTCGCAGAAATTACTTACATTATTCAAGTTCTATATATAATGGTATGCTGAACTTCAACACGAACCCGAATCTCCAACCCATGCAGTTCTCGTTTTGCCACACATACCCTACAGTTTACAAAGTGTACACACGAGCAGGCCAGGGATTGAAAATTCCGTTATTTAATAATACACACTCACAGAATGATTAATTTGTTCTTTAAAGGGAAATATTGCATGATAATAAACGGACTATATACATGTTCTTAATGCAATTGTTGATATAGTATTATCAATTCATCAGTGAAAACATATCAATCGAAGATTGACCTAAATTTTATCTGTTATCAAACACGTTTTTAAAAAGGGCTGAGGAGGGAGCGAGCGTAGGAATATTGATATTTTTTATTTGCATTTCGGGGGGAAAGTGACTTTCTAATGATATTTTACGTTATTTTTGATTTCTATAACGTATGACATACACAACTTTACTCTTATCATGAACAATAATGTTGTAAATCATGATGGAATTATTTTGTTAAGCTGCCGCTGAATACAGTTATATATCTTGCAAAGATAGTATGCATTGATCGAATATATAGAAAACAGTTAGTTAAAGGCGGCTGATATGGTACGATGTGCCCTTCAATAACTTCTAATAAAGTTTGTAGGGGATCTAGAGGGCTGATGATACGACTTAACAGAAGGGCACCACTTCCCCTTTACATGGAGTTATTCACAGGCATGGCGTACCATCATCAGACTCGTGAATATTTTGTAATCGTTTAATAATCTTTTTTCGAAACAGGTGTTGTTGAATTATATAGAAACTACGGCAACATGCCTTTCTCCGTGGAAGAAGAAGAGGTAAGAAAGCAAAGTGTTCTAATCCAATCTGATTTAATGTTTGGGACTGCAAGCAAGCTTTTGTGAAAAATATCATAGATATATGTAGTAAATAAAGCTATATGGAAATTACATATGATAAATCTTATTAATTATTGTTGTAAACTAAGTATACTGTACATATATGTACGTGGTAATAGATATTTTTTTGAAAAGTATGTAATAAAATATAAAAATGTATGGACGCTATGCTGTTATAGGTAGCAGAAATGATGCTAGTGTGGGCAGATATTTGTATGGAATACGTGGAGGTAAACATCCGGGCGTTTGCAACATCCGGGTCTTAGCTCTCTTTGTAATCTTGCGCTCTTTAACAGTAGTGTGTGCACAGAAGCTAGAAGCTGACAATCTTACCCTATAAAATAACAGTAGAATGGTGTGATGTACTAAATTACATGATCTTCTCTGCGGTTTTACCTAATAGGCAGAAGACAGAGATTAACCCCATTCTTCAATGAGATTAAGAATGATTATATATATACTTATATACTTATTGGGAGAAAATTTGTTCAAGAATGGCAGAGGTCTCTGTTGTTTATAGTTACATATATTCTACTGTAGATTTTCTTCTGACTTGAAAGAAAAAATAATAGAAACGAAAAATCTTTGTTTCAAAAACGTTTGGGAAATTTTTAAATACATACTCTTAAAAGCTCCTAGAGTCATTTCCGGTGGATACATTTTTATCAAATTATGTTTTATTTCTTCAAAATGTGTGATTTAGAAACTTTTCTGACTTTTTGAAAAAATAATTCTAAATCACAAGTGTTTACTTATGTAATCCGTATGATCAATAATAGATTCCCTGTATTACGTCACGAGGCGGCCATTATGCAGACCAATTATCACCCTTTGTCTGACAAGCTTTCAATTTTCTATGTAGATAGCGGTCAATATTATCCTCTGGGGACTTTTTGCCGTATATTACATGGAGGTATCGGCTGTTGTACACATTTCCTTATTTTTGTGTAGTAAAATTTCAGAGAAAAGAGGTTTTACGGTGTTGCATGACTCTTTGATTATTTATGTATATTTTAGTTGTAAATTTAATCTTTGTAGAACAGGAACTAACGTTTGGAATGAAATCAATTGTTCAAAACAACCCACTTGCATGCTTATAGTATTACCTAGAAATTTAACTTTTCAATAAAAAAAAATGGATGTAGATATTGTAGAAGAATTCCGAATACGCATGTCGCACTGTTTTATTTAATAGAAAACGGCGATGATGTGTGTGGGTATTCCAAAAATATTTAATTTCTGACTTTCAATTTTGCGTCGTCAATGTGTGGACCTGTGCTCGGTTTGGTGTGCTATATATTCTAACTTCGTGTTCTTGAAACTTCTTAACCTAAGTCAAAATTTGTGTATTTAGCTAAATGAATTTGAAGTCAAAATTGGCTTTCCAACTGCTGTTGTCTGCAAAATTAGGATCTCTATTTCACTTGTACGAAACATCTTCCACATGATTGAAATTTTGACTTGTCTTAGTCTGTTTCACGAACACGGGGTCTATTCACATGCTTTCTCATAACAACAACGCTTTTACTTTCCATCAGTGAGAACTGCACCACAAAATAATACTGTATTCTAAATAACAAGCAAATACTAAATAAAACATTTGTAAACAAATTAAAAGATCTAGAGAAGAAAATGTTGATTCATATTTTTATTTGGAATGATAAATAAAAGTTTTGCTGATTTATTTTCTGCTATAGATGTACAACAGCATGATGAAACAGAGGAAGCTGAACGATTTCCTTTTAGCAGTAACTAAGTAAGTAACATATAACAAGATAACTAACTAAGTGAGAAATAAGTAACTAATAAGTAACTAAGTATATAATAAATAAATAAGTAAGTTACAAATAACTTAACAAGTAACATGTCAAGATAAGTAACTAAGTGAGTAGTCAGTAACTAAGCATTTTGTAACTTAGTAGGTAATAATTAACTAAGTAAGTTACAATTAACGTAATAAGTTACTCATAACAAGATAAGTAACTATAAGTAATTACGTAAGTAATAAGTAACCAGGCATTTTGTAACTTAGTACGTAATAATTAAATGAGTAAGTTTTAAGTAAATGAGTAAGTAATAAGTTTAAGTAAAAAATGAATAAGAAAGTATGTTAAAAGTAAATATGTAGCGAATTTGAAATGTATTAGGTGAACTAAATAAGTAATACTAAAATAATTAAGAAATAAGAAAATAACAAAGTAAATTACAAGTAGCATAGTTAATTAGTACTTTGTAATTTAGTATCATGTAATTTAGTGATGAATAAGGATGTGAATAAATTATATATTAAGTACTTTGTTATTTAGTGTTAAGTTAGTTACTAATGTTAGTTATAAGAAAAGAACTATTAAGTAAGTAAAGTTATTAATCAAATAAGTAATAAGAAAGTAATTTATTATTAATATGTAAGTTAGTTAGTAATAAGTAATTAAATAAGTAAGAAACTAAATAAGTCATAGGTAGATTACAAAGTAAGGTTTAAGAACTTATTTAATTGAATAATAAAAAGAGTAAATAACTGAGTAAGTTGTAAGTAGCTTATGTGTAAGTAAAAATTGAATAACTAAGTTAGAAACTACATGTAAGTAATGAATTAGTGAGCAAATAAGATATTTTTTATGAGTTATAGGAGCACGTTTTTTCTAAAGAACTAAATGTCTTCATTAAGTCATAATTTTCTAAACAACTAAAGGTCTTCAACAAGGTAAGCAATACACTTTGCTTTTGTTCAAAGCGAAATTAGAATATGGAGAGAAATTCATCCAAAATGTATGTCTCAAAAATGAACACAGAACAATAGAATATTTGGCGTAAGTTTTTATTCATTTGTTTATTCAATATTTTTGGGAGGAACTTCTTGGAAGTTTCTGAGGTGATTTATTCAAGGGGAATGATGTATATAAAACTGTAAAGATACTATAGCTTTTGATATTAGAAAAGTGTTTGAAGGAAACTGAAGTATTCCTTCGTCTTTCCTAAATCTATGTCCACTCAAGACGTTTTTGATAAAATCTAATTAGAAATTTTTTTTTTATCCTTTTCAGGTCAATTTTCCAAGATATAGTCAGTATGGATACAGTGATCATGAAAATAATGGTAAGATGTTTTTCTTGACGTTTTAGAATAGAAAAAATAAAGTGCATATAAATTGTTTGTATTCTAAATTATTTTGTATCAAAGTTAATTTAGCCGGGTTTCTTCACAGAATTATGCCAAAAAGCTGGTGATTGCCGACAGAGCATCCTTGTTCTTGGTGGACACGAAAAGTCGCGAACTGTACGCGCGGATCTTTGACACTGGGAGGGTGGAGGAACATATTCCTCAGAAAGAAATCAGGTATCTCGTGATCACTTCTTCAACCCTTGATGAATATAAACGATTTTACGGATGGTTTTGGACAGAACTCGTTGGACAAGTGACCTACTTAATTTAAATCGATATCGAGATATAAAAAAAACACTGAGAATGATTTCTGAGAGGAAAAAAACCGATTAATTGACAACAATAATTATTGTTTATTGCAGGTTCCCTATGGACAGGGGCGTGGCAGGTCATGTGGCCTCCACGGGGGAGGTGCTTAATATAGCGGACGCCTACACGGACAGTCGGTTTAACCGCGATGTCGACTTACAAACCGGATACAGAACAAAAAGCATACTATGTATGCCTATCTATAACCGGGGAAAGTAAGCATCAAGATATAAGTATACCATCTATCCTGATTCATTCGGTTAATAAAACTATGAAGGCAAAAGGTATTTGCCATACAAGTTATTACTAGACGTCTCTTGTTCTTTTTTTTATTGTTATATTATTTAATTTAAATGTTGGCTGAATAATTATTTTAAGATAATGTCAAAAATTCGCTCCAAAATGGTAGCCTCATTTTAATTCTGTTAAACAACCAATGTTAAATGACTTTCAGTATTATTGGTGTGGTTCAGATGGTAAATAAAATCGACGGAGTTTTTACAAAAGCAGATGAAGAGTCATTCGAAACCTTTGCTATTTATTGTGGACTAGCTCTTCACCATGCTAAAGTAAGCATTTGTTTTATGATTTTGTTCACATCTGTATTACGCTTGTTAGAACCATAATACCAAGGATGAACCTTATTAATTGCAAACCTTTTTTTTTAAAAGGTAAATGATGAAAGTTTTGTTGTCCGTTTGTCAAAATTCCTCAGCTTTGCAAGCTTAAATGACATGTCAAGATTAATTCTTTAAGTTTTTTTTTATCAAACCTTAACCTGCGGTATATATGTTTCTTGTTTTAGCTGTATGACAAGATCCGCCGATCGGAACAGAAGTACCGTGTTGCGGTAGAGGTTCTGTCCTACCACAGTCAGTGTAACGATGAGGAGTACCAGATGGTGAAAACAATGCCCATTCCCGACGACATTCCCGACATTCTAGAGTACGTCCAAGATCTCGTGCTGCGCGAGATTTTACTGAAATGCTGAGCTAGAATGTTGATACACATACAAATACTACCTTAAAAGTTTAATTTTTCCCTTAAACGCGATGGTGTTGAATCAAGCGAATTTTTAATTTCCTTTATTTACTAAAGTATTTTGCAATTTGTTGTTTTAGCTACGATTATTCCCCTTGGGCGATCGACAACGATAATAAGCCTGTGTATGTCCTGTACATGATGCGGGACATCTTTAACATGCACTCACAGTAAGTCAGTCACTAACAATGCTTGACGCAAAGAACCAATCAGAAACTACATAATATTTTAGACAAGTCACGTGATACAATTGTGGTCCGCGAAAACGAGGACAGTTTCTGTGTGATTAAAGTTTGCTTGTTTGTCACAACCTGTGTATATGTACTTTGAAGAAGTATAGGTTGACAAAGTCATATCATATCAGGAATGTGGCGAACAAGCAAGATCTTGATTGCAACGTAAAAGAAAGAAAAGAACACCCGTATTAACTGGTTTCAAAATTGATATTAAAGTCCAGTTACTTGTGGTTTTTTGCAGTAGAAACAAAAACGAAGAAAGGTATTATTACTAGCGTTATAGTGTAGCCTCTCTCTGGTTCTTGCTCTTTAGAGGACACCACTTATTTATTTACTTATAGTGTGCGTTTTCCTTCTTAGACTGAAACGAGTGTCAATCAAATCCTGCAACACGCCTACTGCGTACTAACCACCAGTCACTAATGTATGCTATCCGCTGCTGTGTGACGTCATAATCGATGTTGTGTTTTTTTCTATTGATGTTCGATTATGTTTGCTGTAAATTGGAATGTTAAGCAAAAGTCCAGTTAAAGAATAACTACTGAAAAGGAGTCGTTAAGACAGAACAGAATTTTAAAACGAAATCTTGTCAGAAAATATTTCTTGTTCAACTTAATTATAGATCTACTTCTCCTCTAAATTTTAAAATTGCAATTAGATCATGAAAAAATAACACACTGCAAGAGTTTTATTTATTTGCATGCATGGATGTAAAGAATTGAAGAAACTCGGAACGCTTTCCTCAAAAGCTAGCTTTAAGAGCTAGCTCGAGATTATTCACGGCACCAAGTTTTCAAACTTTTAAAGTTGACATGTATATCCTGTATCTCAATCCAAACTAGAGGGCTAGTGTACTATACTCCTTTGTGCATCAATATCAAAATCACATAAATATGTATTCACTTCCTAACTATTCAAATTTCTATTTTAAAAATTGGTCCACATTTCTGGCTTTTTCTTGACCACAAAGAAACAAATCCTTTACATATGAATGATCTTAAATCCCAAGTTTTTAAAAGAAAATTTCTTGTATATTCCCATTATCTTACGTGTATGATGCATAACGTGATCACAGTAATGAAGTACTAATTAGTTAGTATTTTAGTGCTCAGAGAGAAAAGGTCAATATTAAGGGTTATTTTTTCCTCCCTTGGTTAACTCTTTTGTCGCATTCTTTTATAACAATGTATTTACTTATAAACTAAATTTCAACGAATTTTCGCCAGCATTTTATTTTTGTTGACCGCGCTTAAGTGTATTAATGTACTTAAATGTTCTTAAAGCTTGGTATTTATGAAATCGTAACGTTTGTACCATTATTTGAATTTTTAGTACGAGTATGTATGCAAGTAAAGTATTTATTATGCTTGAATATTTTTTGTACATAATTAACATATTTTGAATGCCTTTATTTCAAAAATATAATTTTCTTACCCAAAGCAAGATAATTTTCAATTCAAGATGTTGTCAACAATACTGAGGACTAGATCTTTTGATTTTTCAGCAAGGAAATATAATAAACATTTTTAGGGCGAAGAAAAATTTCTAATCACAAAATTGATTCGTTTTCCTTATTTATTAATCTATATATAATGCTTATAAATACTGGAACTTTAAACCAAAAACAGAAATGTTATGTTCAGTAAAGACTAACTTGTCTTTGTTTTTTAACATGCATGGTGAAAAAGAAAGACTTTTCCTTAACTTTTCTCATTGATATGTCTTAAGGAATTATGATAACATACCTCTAGCATCGATATAATTTCTTGCTGAATGCATACTCTCACTGTCTGATTTTGTTTAGAAGGTTTGACATTGACGACATGATTCGGTTCACTCTGACTGTACGCAAAAATTACCGGAATGTGCCCTACCATAACTGGGCGCATGCGTTCTCCGTGGCCCACGCCATGTTCGCCGTCATCAAAACATCCCAGCATCACTTCACGCCTATTGAGGTTAGTCCTTCAACTCCATGTGCAGCAAACTTAGAAATATCTGCAAATAATTCAAGGGTTCTAAATATCTATGTAGATTTCTCAGTAAAATGCTAAATTATAAACCATCATGTAGTATTTAAGAAGAAAAGATAAATATATCTAATGGTTGCATTAAGACCAATTAAATTACACATTGGATGAAAAATAGCACATTAAAAATGATTTTCTATTAAGGACAGCTCTGAATTTCAGAGACAATTTTAGCTCATTAATAATGTTGACTTGCCTTGACGAATTTACTGTAATTAAGGAATTTCGCTCATCTTTCAGAGTCTGGCCTTATATATTGCTTGTCTCTGTCATGACCTTGATCACAGGGGAAAGACGAACGCTTTTATGGTCAAGAGCGCGGCTCCCCTGGCTGCCATTTACTCCACATCTACTATGGAGCACCATCATTTCAACCATACTGTCACCATATTACAGGTATCCTGGTTTCTGCACCAATTTCTGTCCAAAATAGAATTATTCTATATATTCCATTTTTATGTAATATGCAACACATTTGAATTGATTGAAGAATATTGAGCTTCTACTTGTCAAGCTTGAAAAGAAAAACCCTTCATTGCTTTGGTCGTATGTTTTATTTTCTGATAGAAACACCAAATCTTTAAAGGAATTAAATAAAATTTAACTGTTTTTTTTAAACATTTGCTTTCGTCAAAAAGTTATTTTGAGAACATTGAAAATTATAATGATGATCATGTTTATAATGTCATGATGAGTAGATATTTTGCATTCTCTTTTTCAGAATGAAGGTCACAATATTTTCAAACACCTTACCTCAGCAGAATACAAACAGGTAAAATAGTCATGAATTTTAAATGCAAAACTTGAACTTTAGTCACAATCACTTCGACAAGCAAATTCTGTACTTGTTTTTGTTAATTCTTTGATTTCAGATTTTGAGTGATATAAGACATTGTATTCTGGCCACTGACTTGGCCTTGTTCTTTGGAAACAGGTCTCGCTTGCAGGATATTGCTGACAAAGGAGAATTTTCATGGGAAAATGCAGAACACAGGTGTGTTTTGAGGGTTTTTCTTTTAATCTGAAGATTAAAGTCAATTTTTATGAAAAAGCTTTAACGAAAAGAAGGCTACGATAAGGCTACTGCTTTAAAGAAGGTAGAATGATTAAAAAGTCATTTAGTTATTGATATATGCATACAAAACATAAAAGAAATATCCACTGATCAGTCTGTGGTTAACTGAAAATTCAATGGACATTTCTTGATTTCTCAGAATGCTTCTTCAAGCTGTAATTATTACGGGGTGCGATCTGTGCGCAAGCGCTAAACCTTGGGATATTCAACTTGACCTTGTGAAATCGATTTTTGATGAGTTCTATAAAGAGGTACAATTTGCATGCTCACGGATCATTGATTCTTGCATGTTTTCTAAGCTAGAAGTCACGGTGGTCGTAGATGCTTTGCCTTCGTCGTTTTCTTTTTCTTGTTAAAACGTTCCCCAAAAAGAGAACTTTGATGAAAATGCTTGATTTGGAAAAAATGTAAGCCTTTTGCAACCAAGGTTATAAAATAAGGTACTTTTAATGACCCCCTTCCTCAAAAAATAAAGCTTTTATATAAATGAAAAGGATATTTTTTTTCAATCACCAAGTTCCGTTTGCATCAATATGTTCTTATCACCTGCATACGGGGTTTCTTAGATGGTTCGATACACAAGAGCATGCTCTACATAATTATGAACAATACTAGAAACGGGGTAAAACAAGTGTTTGAAGCAAGAACATCAAAAGTCTGTATTCCACAACAAATACAACCATCATTCAGTCAAATGCTGAATGAGAAAATAAAATTATAGTACCGACTTTATCTTTTTTGAGAACAATTTGTTATAGTGCAAAATTTCCGTACCCTTTTATGGTTGTAAAAAAGAGAGTGGAAACCAAATAAGTTTATCCTAAACAATTGACTGAATTTGTGAAAGATTGTCATGAAAATTATGTTGGTATAGGACACAAGTAAATCTATATCAGGGTATAGTCTAAAGATAATTTGCAATCAATAAACAGAATTAATCTCTAAAGAAGACATGTACAGAGGTAATTTCCGAGAGATTGTATGATGAAGATTGGTCTCTTGTTTGAAAGATAATGTTGGTATCTAGCTTCTCGGAGATTGTGTAGACTGAAAGATTACGTTACAGTCTGGAAGATGGCGCTGCTTTCTGGTCCATTGTTTTGTTGTCGGGGAAATCGTGATGTTGTCTTGAGGACTCTGTTGTCGTGTAATTGTTGTGATTGATGTTGTGTTTTCAGACGTCTTGTTATGGCCAACAGCATGACGGCAGCCGACCTGTGTTCTATGTATAAACCCTGGGATCTTCAGGTACAACTCGTTGACGTCATCATGGAAGAATTCTGGCAGCAGGTAATGTCTCTATAGCAACAACCGCGTTCCGGAATCACGTGATTTTAAGGGATACTGCTAATTTGAGATTTTCGGACCTTTGAAGTCAACAAAACCTCGCAGAATTTTTTTTAAGAATAATGTTAACACTGATTCACCTGTCATGTGTATATGTAAAACAATGCCGAATTTTATTTCTCATTTTGGGTTGTAAAAATATGATGTTTACGTTGAAGGGAGATCAAGAGAAAATCAAAATAGGATATGTTCAGAATCCCATCATGGATCGCGATAAAATTAACGAACTTCCGGAATCACAGGTACCACGTGATATCCAGGGTCATTAACTCGCTTAACGCTCTGCACGTGATCAGCACGAGTGTGTCCTTACACTGTGATATATTTATCCGAATATAATTTCCCGCCAATTTTTATTTCTTTATGAATTGAAAGTAAGCTAAAAATATTCAACAGTTTAAACAATCTTACTTTTTTTTTTAAATTTTAGGAAGCAGGATAAAACAGAAAAATGTTGAAAAAACTGACGAAAAAAAATCATCCTTAATCTGTGAAGCTATTTAGTAATAAATATTATAAGGATGACAAATTTATTTGCATCAACTAAGTTTCCAAGCTTTTAAAGCAGAATGTTAAGTTACATTATTTCGATGATCATGTCATAAAATCACATATTAGGTAAGAGGAAAATACCAATTCTTTATCGTGTTTTTTTTTTCATCAAAGAAAGACAGAAGATAGCAAAATTTCAATCTGATTCAACTATACATGTAAATGTGAATAGACTAAAATTATACTGGTTTTTGTCTCCCTTTGTGAACGCCATATTTTGGCGGGAATTTGTCTCACTTTGTTTATTCACGGTGACTAACGCTACTAACCTTCCTTAGGGGGATGAGGAGCGATCACAAGGACTAACTCCTATGCCGATGATGGACAGACAAAAAAAGAATGAATTACCACACCTTGAGGTAAAGTATCGAGCTAATGGAATCCCGATTTGTGAACATCTGTAGAAAATAAGATAAGAATTATAATTTAATGCGGAAAATTAATTTGGAATAGATGTTTTCTTTCATAAGCAGCCATTCCTGCACTTTTTACACATAATGTGTTACTAGTTTTTACTTTTTCACGTGATTTTCAATTGGTGTAATTTTGCAATTGGCCACACACTTTAACATTTGAGACAAAGTATTCACAATACTGAAAATTATGTTTTCTAGTTATTTTTTTATTTGATTAAAAACGTTCTTTTAACTTTTAGTTTTCTTAATTAATATTTATAATAGTTATAGATTTCAACACAGAATTTTTAAAATTTAAATTGTTTCAAATATAAGTTAATCTTTGCAATTTGCTCATAACTATTGTCCGTGTAGTACATCAAGTTATCGCCCTTTTTTTAGGTGGGGTTTTTGGTGGGCATTTGCCTCCCTTGTTACGAGGTGATGGCGCAGATCCTCCCGGAAACAAAACCAATGGTTGACGGAGCCATGTAAGTAGAAACACTGAAACTTTTTATTTTACAGGGGTCATAGTATGTCCGGTACTCGATTTTTTTTATTAAACAAAGGTCCTAAAAAATCTAATTTAGATGTATTTAATGTCGTTGATGCGTTTTCATAAATAAGATTTAGAATTTTAATGCAGAAATTAAAGATCATTTTTATTTTTGACCTGCAGTGCTAACTTAAAGAAATGGCGGGAATTAGCAGAAAAGGAAGCTTTGGAGAAGGAAAAAGAAAATGAGGAACCACAAAAACCACAGCAAACGGATGATAACCAGGAAAAAGAGAAAGAAGAACCAGTTACCACAACAGAGAAACCCAGTGATGACGCTATAGTGACGTCAGAAAAGACTCTTTTATCGGCAGGAGACGGTTTAGATGACAGTGCTTCAGATACAAGTTTTTTGGCGGCAGGTAAACCGCTGCCAGACATTTCTAGTGATCAAACCTCAAATGTGTCGTCAGAGAAAACAGTGCTATCATTACACAGCGAAGAATCACGATAATTACTGTTCTTTTTGAGAGATGTTTATTTTTGTTACAGTGATGTAAAATATTTGAGCGCCATGGAGCGTTTCCATGACAATGAACTTTGTGTTTAACCACTACGCAGGGTAACCATGGAGCGCGCATGCTCTGTGATGCAAGGTCTGTGATTTATTTATATTTCTTACCAGAGAGGGTATGCTGTTTGGATACTCTCTTATAAATTATTCGGAACCTCTTATTTATTTTCATGACGATAATACTCCACGACGTTCCATCCTTTCTGCGTTTTATTCCGTTAAGTGTTTTATCGTAACGTTGACGTGTTGGATATTGTAGATTAAAATGTTATCAAAGTTATGGTTTTGTCTTTTTTTTTATTGTTAACTCTTCTGGTTAAAGGGATGATATCCATCGTTTGACCGTGTTTTGTCTTTTAACAATTTTTCAAATCACAAATCCTAAAATACTGTAAATGTATTATATTTGGCGTGTATGATATTTGGCGGAAATTGATTTTTGAACAAGTTGGCGAAGATTTGATTTAGCGCATTTCTTAATGTTCTTATTTATGAGTATATGTGCAAGAATTTTAACGTTTTACTTGAATTAGCGGAAGTTTCTTTCCGCCACAGGCGCTTAAAAGAATACACAGCCAAATGTAATACGTTTACGGTAACAAGTGTTCGAGTGCAATACATGGAGATAACCATCAGTATTAAAGCTTAAAAGTCCATAAAACAAAATAAAAAAGGAGCATAGAAAATACGAACATCCAAATCATCATAAGTGAGATCAGGTGCCATGGAGGAGTGAGCATCTGTCGACCTGTCACCCCGCTGTTGCTCCATGTCATGATTGGGAAATAACGAAAAAATCCGACGTCAATTAAGTGTATAAATAATGGACTAACAATTGATATGAAAAAACGTCAGTGAGCATTTGACTCCATGATCAACTGTATTTCCTAACAAGGTCATTGTATCGACAATAGAACTTACGAAATGAAGACTTTAAACGAGACACCTGATATTCTTGTTTCATCAACTTTGTCAATAATTTAACTCGTTTAGAAATTGTTCATACGTAAAGCATGCTCTTGCGTATCGAATCAACTGAGATATATAGACTCTGAATGCAGTTGATGAAGGTATATTGTTGCATAAGTAAGGGGAGTTGACGATAGAAAAGTTAAAGTCATCACGTTAATCTTAGAGCTTGGTTGTTAGATTACCATTAACGTCTTTTCAAAGTTAAATATCCAAATATGAAAATGATGTGTCAGACTCTGTGGTATATTTTATCTCAAGCACACCAAGATATATCATATCGACATAAGACTGGAAATTACCATTGTTAATTGACAATATGTCGTCGATTTATCTAAATGTCGAGTTGAAGGCCACGGCAAGTGTTTTCTTCTTTTCACACATAAGATTATGCACAAATTCTGCTTCATATGAATACGAAAAAAGCTCTGCTAATAACAGGTAGCAATTGGTGCCCATTGGAATTCCAGTTGATTGATGGAAGACCTGGTCTCCAAAAACCATATAGATATTGTCAATAAGAAGCTCAATCATCCTTCTGATGTCAGCTTCAGAGTACTTGTGTGTACAATCAGAATGATCAATGACAAGGTAAATTTTCGAGTTCCATTTTTATTGAAGAAGCAGCTGTCAATGATATCAAGAAGTCTGGCTTTTAATTTATCGTGGGGAATGGTTGTGTATAAAGTTGAAAAATCGTAAGTCCTTAAGCTGTTGATTTTGGTAAAACCTTGTGATTTCAAATTGTTCAAAAGTTCCTTGGAATTTTAAAGTCTCCGCATCTGATTTACACAACTTCTTGAATATATTGTTGCACAGTACTTTTGAAGCTTCTCCTTTACTACTGTTGATATCTTAGCGAGGAGTAAAGTAAGAGGCTTGGTTGAACATTTACTGGAACCCTCTTTGTTTTTTTCTTGTAAGGATTTTTGCGAAGTTTCGGAATCCAATATATATATATATATATATATATATATATATATATATATATATATATATATATATATATATATATATATTTTGAACTTGCTTCATATGACTAAAAACTTAAAAGAGTCTTATCATTTTGGCAATTCTAATTTCCTTTCAAATATGTCTATTAAAGATAACCCAACATTTAAACTTCTAAAGAAAGAACATCAAAAATCAATAAACCCCGGGCTGGGGCGGAAGTGAGTATCCTTGTAAAAGTGAATTTCTCTGTGCTTTCTATATTAATATTTCTTCACTTTCAGGGCAGTTATATTAGTTTAAGAGTTGTTGTAATTTGTGCTTTAATAAAATTAATTTCATCACAACATGTATTGGTAACAATCCTCTAAAAAAACTAATGTCCAAATAACTGTATCTCACTTCCAAAAAAGAAATTCTCAATGACCGTGTAGTGTAGGGCAGCGTTGTGAAAATTCCAAACCCCGCTCGGCATTCAAACGAAAGCAAGTTTTTTTAACTTGCCTAGATAGCCGAGCGGTCTAACGCGCTGTTCTGCACTGCTAGGAGACAGATTCCGTAGGTCGAGAGTTCAACCCCGGGCTGGGGCGGAAGTGAGTATCCTTGTAAAAGTGAATTTCTCTGTGCTTTCTATATTAATATTTCTTCACTTAGGGCAGTTATATTAGTTTAAGAGTTGTTGTAATTTGTGCTTTATAAACAAAATTAATTTCATCACAACATGTATTGGTAACAATCCTCTAAAAAAACTAATGTCCAAATAACTGTATCTCACTTCCATTCTCAATGACCGTGTAGTGTAGGGCAGCGTTGTGAGAATTCCATCGGCATAAGAAACTACGAAAGCAAGTTTTTTTAACTTGCCTAGATAGCCGAGCGGTTTAACGCGCTGTTCTGCACTGCTAGGAGACAGATTCCGTAGGTCGAGCAATTGGAACCCCGGGCTGGGGCGGAAGTGAGTATCCTTGTAAAAGTGAATTTCTCTGTGCTTTCTATATTAATATTTCTTCACTTAGGGCAGTTATATTAGTTTAAGAGTTGTTGTAATTTGTGCTTTATAAATAAAATTAATTTCATCACAACATGTATTGGTAACAATCCTCTAAAAAAACTAATGTCCAAATAACTGTATCTCACTTCCATTCTCAATGACCGTGTAGTGTAGGGCAGCGTTGTCTTATGCCAATTCTTCATCGGCATCGAAAGCAAGTTTTTTTAACTTGCCTAGATAGCCGAGCGGTCTAACGCGCTGTTCCTGCACTGCTAGGAGACAGATTCCATAGGTGGAGAGTTTAACCACGGTCTGGAGCGGAAGTGAGTGTCCTTGGAAAAGTGAATTTCTCTGTGCTTTCTATATTAATATTTCTTCACTTAGGTCAGCTATATTGGTTTAAGAGTTGTTTTAATTTGTGCTTTATCAATAAAATTTATTTCAAAACAACATGTATTGGTAACAATCCTCTAAAAACTAATGTCCAAATAACTGTATCTCACTTCCACTCTCAATGACCGTGTAGTGTAGGGCAGCGTTGTAGAAAACCTATTACGGCATCGAAAGCAAGTTTTTTTAACTTGCCTAGATAGCCGAGCGGTCTAACGCGCTGTTCTGCACTGCTAGGAGACAGATTCCGTAGGTCGAGAGTTCAACCCCGGGCTGGGGCGGAAGTGAGTATCCTTGTAAAAGTGAATTTCTCTGTGCTTTCTATATTAATATTTCTTCACTTAGGGCAGTTATATTAGTTTAAGAGTTGTTGTAATTTGTGCTTTATAAATAAAATTAATTTCATCACAACATGTATTGGTAACAATCCTCTAAAAAAACTAATGTCCAAATAACTGTATCTCACTCCCATTCTCAATGACCGTGTAGTGTAGGGCAGCGTTGTGGTGATTGAATTCCATCGGCATCGAAAGCAAGTTTTTTTAACTTGCCTAGATAGCCGAGCGGTCTAACGCGCTGTTCTGCACTGCTAGGAGACAGATTCCGTAGGTCGAGAGATTAACTCCCGGGCTGGGGCGGAAGTGAGTATCCTTGTAAAAGTGAATTTCTCTGTGCTTTCTATATTAATATGTCTTCACTTAGAGCAGTTATATTAGTTTAAGAGTTGTTGTAATTTGTGCTTTATAAATAAAATTAATTTCATCACAACATGTATTGGTAACGATCCTCTATAAAACTAATGTCCAAATAACTGTATCTCACTTCCATTCTCAATGACCGTGTAGTGTAGGGCAGCGTTGTGAGAATTCCATCGGCATCGAAAGCAAGTTTTTTTAACTTGCCTAGATAGCCGAGCGGTCTAACGCGCTGTTCTGCACTGCTAGGAGACAGATTCCGTAAAATAGGTCGAGAGTTCAACCCCGGGCTTTTTAGTGCTTTATATAAATTTCCATCCGTGACCTTGTATCCTTGTAAAAGGATATAATTTCTTTTTTAGTGCTTTTTATATATATATATATATATATATATATATATATATATATATATGGTAGTTCAAATTCATTGTGGTTTTTTGGGATCCTATAAATATTTAGATCTGACATATGATTTTGTGGAATTTCTTCTTTTGAAAGGGAACTATGAGTATAAGTTGAATTACCACTTGAATTAAATCAAAGTTCTTCTATAATGCAATTTATATAAATTTAAATAAAATCAAAAGTCCATTAAACAATACAAAATAGGATCAGAGCAAACACGGACCTCCGAAACATCAGAGATGGGATTAAAAAAAAATTCTCAGAAAACAATTACCCCACACGTACAGATTTTCATGCCAAATGTCTTGAAACATCACAGTCCTCGGCGTTTAGTCTTTGATGACTGTCAAATAATAATAGAAGGTTATGAAATACACAAAATATGCTAGATATGTAATTAAATCAAAGCAATGTGAGTTTTTAAATAATTCAGATCTGGAAATGAAACGACTTTGGCCAAAAACAGTCACCACCTTAATGTTCCTGGTGTCATCTACGACGGTATGAAATATGCTAAGTTGTGATCAATATGTTTGTCTAGATAGATGGTGTGATATTTTATTGAAAGGCAACCAAATTTTTATCTTTTGGTAATGTATGATGCTCAGTTTTTATCTTTACTTGTCAGAGATCAGATTAGTTTATGCATTAGTAAGGTGTCCGTCTAGCTTTCTATCCGTCCAGCTGTCAATCTTTCTGTCTGTTGTTTTCAAAAAGCTACCCATCCAACAGTTTTGGTGTGTTGTTTCAGTAGCTCTTAATGTACAAGAAGACAATAGTAAGATACATAATTCTGTCCTTCAGTTTAAGATTTCGACAAACGGTGTTGCCATGGTTATTTAAAAGATATTTTTTCTATAGAATTCGTTTAAAACGCTA